ACAGGGTTTCACTATGTTGACCAGGCTAGTCTCCAACTCCTGATCTCTGGTGATCCACCCACCTTGGCCTCTCAAAGTGCTGGGATTGATTACAGGTGTGAGCCACCGTGCCCCGCCAGCCAAAACGTTCTTAGAGCCAGACAAGTAGGAGCCCTGATCAGACCCCACCTGGGAGCGCCCTGTCTGACCTCCTCTAGCCACTGTCTGTGGGACCAGGAGTCTACAGGACCAAGGAATATGCCCACCCAGATGCTCCTACTCCCCTATCCAGATTGCATTCCAGATTCTTAAGATTTTGAAATGCCCTTCCAGCCTGTTTCCAGGACCTGCATAAGTTTCTTGCCTAGCCAATCATGAAAAAGGTAAAACATGCCCTGGATAGGCTCATCCTTAGGTCCAAGGGATGGCCAAGGGAGGGGCTGTTTCCCTATTTAATTGGTTTGAACTGGTGCTGGCCTGTTTTAAAAGTTCCCCAGGTGAATCAATGTGCAGATAAATGTCTGCTGAACTTCTCCAGGACAAGGAGGGGGTTGCAGCTTTGGAGGCTCTGAGCAGGCAGGTCATAGCACTTGAAATACTCTGGATCTCTAACACTATTAAGAAAAATGTATACACAGGTGAAGATGCTGAAAATTGGTTAAACATCAGCATGGATTCTGAGTTACTGGAAAACATTAAGCACTGGTTACTTTTATCCATACCTCCCTTTACTCAAGGTTTGTAAATCTACAGACACACAGTGATCACCGTTTCATCTCACAGAAATACCTTCTCAGACTAGGGATGCTCTCAAAAAACTCCCTCCGTTCATACATGTCATTTAAGGCTGTTTAAGAAATGCCAAGTCCTGTTACTACCACAAATCCAGAGAAGACAGGCCTGACCGTAAACTGGGAATGGACATAGTTTCCTATTTCCCAGGTGTAGAATATGTGTTGCCTTAAATGGGAATATGGCTAATTATTTAGCAATATTTTTTTTTCTTAAAAACATTTTAATTTAGCATTAATCAACCAGAAGGAACCAGGGCAAAAGTAGGTGACGAATCAGACAAGTTGCAGGAGACCAGACCACGCAGGGCTTGGTAGGCCATTCGAAGGACATTGGCCTTTAGTCTGAGTGAAATTGAAAGCCACTGTAAGGTATTGAAAAGAGGAATGACAAAATCTGACCATAATTTATTTTAAATTGGTCACCTTGGCTGTCATTTGGAGAATAGACTATAATGGTATAAAGTGGAGGCAAGACGACCAGTTTGGAGGTTGTTACAGTACTCCAGGTGAGAGAGGACGCTCAGACAGGTTGGCAGCAGGGAGGAGGCAGGAACGGGTCAGATTGCAGATATGTTTTGAAAATAGGGGCAACCCATTTCCTGATGGGCTGGATGTAGGCTGTAAAAAAGAAAAGAGGAACTAAACATGATTTCAAGGTTTTAGAGCTGAGTAACTGGAAGGATGGAATTGCCATCAGCTGAGACAGAATCTGAGCAGAGCAGCTTCCGTCAGGGTCAATTTTGTTTTGCATATGTTGAATCTGAGATGTTTACCAGACATCCAAGTGGAGATGTCAAGTAGTCAACTCAATGTCTAAGTCTAGAGTCCAAGAGATAAGTCCAGGTTAGAGATATAAATAGGGGAATTATACATGAGCATACGGTCTTTAAAATCATGAGACAGAATGATAGCCCAAGAGAATGAGTATTGGTGGAAATCTCTCTCCCATTAGGCAAAAAGCTCCTAGAAAACATGGACTGAGTTTTCTGTTCACAGTATTCTAAGCACCTGAGTCTGTTTTTGGTAGATGTGGTGCTGGGATTTTTCACTGACAATCTGACACCACTAAAGATGAAAAAACAGAAAACCAAAATTTTACGACAAAATTAAACTGCCCATCTAGCTCACAGCACATTCTCCTTTAAGGCCCTTTCTCCAATTCTGGCCACAGCTCCATTCAACCAGCACACAGAACAGGTGGGGAAGACGTCAGAGCACCCAAGCACTCCAATAGTTTTTCTCTTTGGATGTGAAGGATAGTCAATACTGGAATGGTGGGAACTAGACTGGGCCTAAGTACCTAAAGCTGAGAGGAAAAAGGCCCCTTTTCTTTTGTACTTTTCTAGGTTCAAGAAAACTTCAGAACCCCAAATCCAGCTTCCTAATTTTATATTCATGTGGAAAAGTTGTTACCATAGTTATGAAAATTGGACTGGGCGCAGTGGCTCATGCCTGTCATCCCAGCACTTTCGGAGGCCAAGGCGGGCAGATAACCTGAGGTTGGGAGTTCAAGACCAGCCTCACCAAATCAGCCAAGCATGGTGGCGCATGCCTGTAATCCCAGCTACTCAGGAGGCTGAGGCAGGACAACTGCTTGAACTCAGGAGACGGAGGTTGCAATGAACCAAGATCGCACCATTGCACTCTACCCTGGGCAACAAGAGTGAAACTCCATCTCAAAAAAAAAATTGTTTTCCTTTTCTTCCTACATTTAGTAACTATTCATCGTCTAAATATATATTTTATAGACTTAAGACTAAGAAGAGACCTAAGAGAGCATTTAGTTCACTCTTCTCATTTTACTAATAAAGAAAACCAAGTTCCAAAGATATTCAGTGACTAGTCAGCCCACAAAACTTGCTGGAGAGAATGCTCCGTTAGAGCCGAGTCCTTCCCAGTGCTCATTCCACCTAGTCACACTGTATAAGTACTAAATACAAAAATTCCAAGCAGGTTCAGAGCAAAACAACAACTAAACAATACTCAGAAAACCCTATTAAAGAAGACTCCTTTATTTAGCCTAGGCAGAGTAGATGGGAACGAAAATTGCCAATGAAATTTTTTCTTATCAAAAACTAGGATACGCTAACTCTTGAAATTCGGTGTGTATATGAGATTTACTATAAAGACTATCAAATTAGTAAAGTACTGATGACATAATTAAATTTTGTACCTTAGCTGGCTTTTATAACTTATACAGTGCTAGCATATAGCTGATTCAATCTGGTTAAGAGGAAAAGCAAGCTTCAGGAATACGTGAATCCAGATATTAGTTCTCACATGCTTAATTTCAAAGGAAACAGCTGACTTTCAATAATGAGATATACAAACTGAGTTATTTATTCTAGATCCACAGGTGACAAATGCTTTGCCCATAAGAGAATTTCTAACTCTAAACATGACAGGTATTTAAAAAAATTGTTTATATACACAGCAAATTTCAAGATAATTTTAAAAAGAAAAAAATAAATAGTATTCTCAGTGAACACATATAGGCAAATGCCTGACTTCCAGGTTGAATTTTTGCCATGTTTTCTCTATGAATGTAGTTTGCAGAATTCCTGTTTAAGCTTTCTACTTATCTATTACACTACATTAATTTAAAACCAATAACCCTGAAAATGAATAACCACAGTTATAAATTTGGGAATGAAGACAATGGAAAGAAATACAAGTGGGAGAAAAAATATGTGCAAAAGACACATCTGATAAAGAACTGTTATTCAAAATACACAGAACTCTTAAACCTTAACTATAAGAAAATCAACCAATTTAAGAATGGGCAAAAGAAGATACACAGATAGCAAATGAGCACATAAAAATGAGATGGTCATCATCATGTCATTAGGGAAATGCAAATTAAAATGAGATACCCCTACCTACCGATTAGAATGCCCCAAATCCAAAACACAGACATCAAAGGCTGGAAAGGATATAAAGCCACAGTAACTCTCAAACATTGCTGGCGAAAATGCAGAACGATACAGCCACTTTCAAAGACAGTTTGGCATTTTCTTACACAACTAAACACTCTTACATATAATTTAGCAAGCTCCTTGGTCCCAAAGGAGTATATAGCCAAAGGAGCTAAAAAATTAGGTCCAAACAAAAACCTGCACATGGATATTTTTAGCAACTTTATTCACAATTCTCCAAATTTGGAAGCAACCATGGTATCTTTCAGTAGATGAGGAGATAAACTGTGGAACATCCAGACAACAGAATATTAACCAGTGCTAAAAAGAAACAAGCTATCAAGCCATAAGAAGACATGTTACCAAGTGAAAGAAGCCGGTCTACTAGACTGTATGATTCCACTTGAATGACATTCACATTCTAGAAAAGCAAAACTATAGAGATAGTAAAAAGATCGGTGCTTCCCAGGCATTAGGGTAGAGGGAAAGACAAAGAAACAAAGAACAGAGGATTTTCAAGGCAGTCAAACTATTTTGCATGATGTTATAATGGTAGATAAATGTAATTATATATTTGTCAAAACCCAACGAATATACAATACCAAAAGTGAACCCCAATGTAAACTAAGGACTTTGGGTGATAATTCGTTAAGGTTGGTTTACGGACTGTAATAAATGTACCACTGTGGTGTGGAATTTTGATATGGTGGATGCTGATAGCAAGGGAGGTTATATGTGTGTGAGGGTGGGGTGGGGAGAGGATACATGGGAACTCTGTACTTTCTGCTCGATTTTGCTGTGAACTTAAAACTGCTCTAAAAAATAAAATCTATTAAAATCTCTTTTCAAAAGTTGAGAAAAGGATACTATTTGAAGATACTTTAAGCTATTAGAGAAAGTCAAGAGACTCTGGGGCCACATTTATAATTATCCATTACCAAGCAAGTCATACAGTGAGGAAGGGCATGCCCTATACAGCCTACATTACAGAATCCAGCATGATATTCTAAAAACCAAAAGCAACATCTGAAAGAGCCAAGTTCAGCCCTAAAATTATAGACTGCTATCAGTGCCAGAAATAATTAGGAAGTATATTTTAGAATTCAAACCCATTAGGATTTGTTTTTCAAAGTTCATTTACTAAGTTCTAGTCTCACATCTGCCCTAATGTACTTTTTACTAATTAAGAATTTTGCTGCCATGCCAACAATACATTTGCTTAAAGAAAATAATTTTACAACTTTGAAATTTTAGTGTCATTTTATGCCACAAAACTTTATTTACAAAGTTTTTCAGAATATATTTGTTTTACACCCACTATTCCAAGAGTGAAATGATATCAAACAGATTACACAAGCGCACAAAACAGAGAAAACCATTCTACAATATATACAGTGCTGTAAGTGGTTGCTATTTTTACAGTTTTCTTTTGAAAATAATCTGCTGAATTTTTTTGCTGATAACACTTCAGAGTGATGTTGTCTTCAATTGTAGATTTCCACAGAGAGTCAAGTGTAACAATCCAATATATTTTATAGGTGGTATTTAACAGTTTACCAGTAACTACAAATCATTTTTTTTCCCACTTTTTTTCAAAAGTCTTGGATGATGAAGAATTATGACTTTCACCACCACTATAGTGTTCATATAAAGTCTGAAATTTAAAAACACAAATCTGTTTTGTAATATTTTAGTTCAATGTACTGTCATATTAGTAGATGTATTTGGATATATTCTAAATATAGTAAATTTCTCTCTTATTGTTATAATTGGGAAACTATTTTATAAAGCTATTCGAGATAATAAAGAATTTTAAACATCAAGCTTGGACTTAAGCATTACCTATCCTGAGATAGAACTCAATCTTTCTATGAGAGAAATATAACAGAGCTACTAATTAACACACATATGAGCCTTCAAGGCCTTCTTTCTCTCTCTTACTTTTTTTTAAATAAAGCCAGTCTTAGGTAAATTCCTATACAAAATATATTTATAGGGAAACTTTATATTATCAGATGATATTTAAACTAACAAATAGAAGAGATTACAAATTATTATATAAGTATAATAGATATATACTGAAATCTGTATATTTAAAAGTTATTTAAGAATCAGCTAACAACTAACTTATGAAGATGGCAGACATCTTTGCCCTCAAGCAACATACAACTTCAGTGATAAAAATAACTAATCCACCTCAATTATACCTATAAGAGGCTTTTAACAATATATCAGTATAAATTTAAAAGATACAAAATAACAGAGCAATTACAAAACAAATTTTGTCAAATTTTAATTACTATATCTATTGCTTTAGCCATTAGCATTTGAGAAAATTTAAAAAAACAGTTACTTCATATCATATGAATGCAAATACAGTGAATGTACAGTAAAGTCCTTCAGAAAGGCATTCAAGCTCTTGGCAACTCAGATGGACTACCTACCTATCCAGAGGGCTACAAGTATTGATAGTTTAAGTTCCCATCATTTTATGATAATGTTGTAACTGAAATATATTATCAGTAACCGCTTGGTAGCTAAACCAGTTGATCAATAGCATTTATAGGGTTCTAGAAATGACTAGGTGTTTGATAACAGTAAGATTTAAAAATCATGGTATAGATATAAATGGACATTGTGAGGCTAAAAAGCTTGAGACTTGTGCTTTGAGAATTGTGTTGACTGCTGTGTACAGCTTCAAAAAAGCCATTACATGTAATGTCTCTAAGGAAAAAACTGGCTAAAAGGAATAAATTCTAAAGTTGTGTTAATAATGGTGCTGAGTTAAAAGACACATTACGTTCCTATATTAAATTTATTCCAGTTGAGACCTGACAGCAATCTTTTGAATGCACCTTATGTGACAATCTACTTTGAACTGTGCTGTATGCACAAGAATATAAATCAAGTAGATCTGTATTTGTCAAAATGCATGTTAAGTATCTAAATGTAGAAATATGCTTCATAACTGATCTGATGATAGGGCCAACTTTTCTTCAGACTACCTGTTTTTTTAAATGTCTAATTCACTATATAAAACAGTTAAAATTCATGTAAAGAGCAGACATACTTTTTTTTTTTAAGACGGGGTTTCACCATGTTGGTCAGGCTGGTCTTGAACTCCCGACCTCAGGTGATCCACCCGCCTTGGCCTCCAAAGTGCTTGGATTACAGGTGTGAGCCACTACGCCCAGCCAAGAGCAGACATACTTACTTTAGCAGCTTTCAAAATAGAGTTAGGAGAATTCAGACCAACAAGTTGGCCAAGAACATATTTCATTTCTTCAGTGGTTCCCTTGGCTATTTGTTTACCTGTAAAATAAATCAATAGTACACTAGTACCAATAAGAAAAATAATATAAGTCCATTATACATATTTTGATTAACAGCATAAGTGACACACTGATTATACCCCTTATCTAGAATAAGTAAAAATGAATACCAGAAGTAAAGAAAAAAGTTTATTTACTTTTTATAATAATGGAACTTCCTTAAGGAAAGAGGTAGGCTGACCAAGAGTAGCCAATTCAGATTCTGTTTGTTATATAAATAGGTAACAGACTGTTTATGCTACTAATCTAGTAATAAACAAAGTTTTAAAGAAGTAGTACCTGGATGAGTTTGAATTTGAACGTATGGATGAGCCAGGAGCTCAGGAATGGATATCCTCTGTTTAGGGTCCCTTATTAAACAACACTATAAAAACAAAAAAATTTTTAAAAGAAAAACAAAGCAGGTTTTCACATGTGATATTGATGAAATATTTTTCCAGACTATATTATAAAAGTTGCTTTTCAGATAGCCCATTCAAATGATGACAAGATTATTTCTCCCAAGGCACTTCTGCAAAATCTCCAAGTATTTATAAGCTTTAAAACATCTTCAAAGTAAAAAAATTAATTCAGTTAGCAATTCCTTTGAATAGAATAGTTATATCTAAGCCAGTTACATAATTCCAATCATTTCAGCTATTTCTTTTAAGTAAATTATTAGTTATATGAAATTAATATTACCTTTAACACATCTTGAAGATCTATCTCTGGAATATCAGGAAATTCAATTTCATGATTAGGATCAATTATGGCATGCAATTTAGAAATCTGATTAATTATATGCTGAAATGGTGTCTTCCCGTAAGTCATATAGTACAAAATACATCCTAAGGACCAAACATCACTTTTGGGGCTTATCTAAGAAAAAAACAAACACAAAAAGGCTGCTGTTATTTTAACATAAAATGTAAAAACATATAGATGAAATATATATATATTTAAAATCATAATTAAATCTCCACGAATGCCTGAGTATTGCATTATGTTAATATGACAAAACATCTTTTACTAGTTTTCATTTCAGTTGGTTTTTCCATCAACAGATAGAGCTTCACTTTAAATCCTTCTATAACCTCATAATTAAAATATTTCAATTAAGACAAAATATTAAGTTCTTTCCAACCTGGGAAAATATAAAACTAAAAAATGTAACTATGAGTTTTAAGGTTACTTGTTTTCCCCAGAATTATTGGAAGTTCAAAGTATGTATACAGTTTTAATGGTTGTTTAAATTATGTAACCCTTCAGACTTTTGGAAATAATAAATAACTAATACAACTTTAAATCCAAGTGCATATACTATAGAACTATGCTGAGCATGTATCCTGGTCTTGTCACTAACTGGTAGTACTATGTGTATATTTCCTCACTTCTGATACAGAAATAATAAAAGTATATTGTCATGGGCATTAAATGATAAACCACACATATGGTTAATCATAGGGAAAAGTTTCTGGTTATCATAAGTACTCAAGTTGTAAAGCAAATGAAAATAGAATTGATAAATGAAGTCAAGAACTGCATATTTAAGATGAACAAAACCACGGAAAGTCTAATAAAAAAACATAACACATTTAAGTTTTAGAAGAGGAGTAGAGGCTAAACAAATACAAAAATAATTTTATGAAAACATTTGGCAAAATTTTATACCAGTTATTTCAAAAACATTTAAAAGCTAGACTTTCTAAAACAGAAAATGTAATTTAGTAAATAAAAACACATTTATCAAGTAATGATTCTAGGCTGAATAAACGTGCTAAGTACCTTATATATTCTTTCCCATTTTATCCTCAATTTATTTTACAATAGGCACTGTTTATAAACCTAATTTAGAGACAAGCAAATGAGGCAAGTTAAGTCACTTGGCCACAGACAGTTGTTAATGAAGAGGCAAATCTATGACTTGAATGGATGTAGGTCCCTGGGACAACATGTGCTTGCACCCACTTAGTTATACTGATGTAGAGCAAGAAGGGTTAATCTGGGAGCCCATGCCATCACGGGAGGCAAAAGGAGCCCCTGACAAGGGGCATTCAGGAGGCTAACACAAAGCTCATCGAGGTAGTAAAATAAAGTAAGTGAAAAAGTAGCCAGTGGCAGGCCAGAAAAATTTACATTCTCCAGGTGTACTTGGAAATGTAGAATTCACAAATGAGTAAGTGGTAAAAAATAAAACATGAGAATTGGAAATGAAAAAAAACCAGCAATGTCTCTGTAATGGCCTAAAAAGTTTTAGAACTTAAAGAAATTGTTATCTGGTAAGTTTATTCAGAAAATAGTGCAGATTTTAAATGGGGTGTAAATAATCTTTACAGTACCTTTGACTTAGATTTCCCATTCTCTCTGGAGGAAGACATATCTTTGATTGCTTCTGGTGGCATATAATTAACTGTGCCAACCTATTTGCCAAGTGAGAGAAAACACAAATCAATGAAAACACTTCCTTCTGCTTTAGATTCTATTTGTAAAAATACAAATGCTAGATCCTTGGAAACTATATCCTTGCAAACTTCAAATAACTGCCGACAATGTTAAGATATATATCAAATTTCTTCACAACTGCAGCAAAATGAGTTGGGTTCCTAATCAGCGAAGTGACTCCTTTCAGAATGCTGTGCTTCTTCTATGATTATGGTGGGCAACTAGTAAAGTCTGCCCTAAAAACTGTCCAGGCTAAAATCCTATTAATGACCATAAACTTTGAGGCCATCAAGGGACTTAATCGTTCGTTTCTGTGTTGTAACATACTTAACTTTAAAAAAGTATATTTTTTAAAGAAGCCAACCAATATATCAACAAAAAGACCACCTAGCTTTGTCTCACAGCAGTGCTCCCAGTTCCTACAGTAAGATAGGCCAATCTTACAATGCTCATGTTATTCTAAAACAAATGGTTTGCTCTCAAACACAGAGTATCTCTGCTTTAGGGCCTTGACCTGGAAGATATTGTCAGGCTGATTTACAACTCATTGTTCTGCCATACTTTTGACATAAAGAGACATGACTATCAAATAGAATTGTTTGAAGGACATGTTGTCCATTGAATCCTCCCAGCAGTCTAGTTTTACTCTTGGGATTTAGGTGGACTCACATCAAAAATCTGTAAACATGGAACATAACATCTTGGCTCCAAGCAAGGATATTTTTTAGACATACTTTGATGCCATTGCTTTAGTTTTTACAGAACAACTTCCTTAAGTTCGCTGTTGCAATACCCATTATTAAAACGTTGCTTATAATACTTATGGCATTTACAATATGAAAGCCCATTTAAGAATTTTTTTTTTCTTCTAATTTCAGTGATTGGAAAAGGTCTGCTTCTCAGGAAGAATAAAAATAATCTTATCTCAAAGACAATGAAAAACATATAACTGCAATTATTCCCTTTTTGTTTCCAACAAGGAAACTGAGCCAAATTTTCAGGTCAATTTTTGATCACAACCAAATGATTTCCAAGGAAGGTATTACTGTTTCTCTATTTCAGCTATAGGAAAACCATTCATAATTGCTAGAGATAGTCATATTTGATCTCAACTTTCTATTCTAAATTATAATGATCATGGTTCATATTTTTAAATCTATTCTTATCAAAAGACTTGATTAAAAATATAACACTCGTTTGCAAAATAATACTTTACAGGTGAAAAAAGAATTGAAGTCTACTATGAGATAACCAACCACTAAAAGTCTTACCTGAGAATCTTTAACAATACTTGTTGTATCTGGTTGCATTTGGTTTGCGATCCCAAAATCAATTAGCTTTAACATTCCATCCACTATCAGAAAGTTAGCTGGTTTAAGATCACTATGAACAATGCCTTTAAAATAAAAATCCACTATAATATTAAACACTGTAAAACATTCTAAGGACCAAAAAACTCACAACCTACAGGTCGAGCTGTATTTATTCCTTCAATTAGTGACTCCAAGTCAATATTCATTTTTGCATATATTCTGCAAACATTGACATAGCAATTGTTATGTACCAGGCACTATTCTAAGTTTGTTGTTTATATAGTACTGACTCATTTAATCCCCACAGCAGTGCTGAAGTATTATTATCTTCCCTATTGTATGGCAAGGAAACTAAGGCAATGAGAGTTTAATTAACTTGTACAAGGTCACACAGCCTAAGTCACAGTGCCATGAGTTGAAGCCAGACAGTCTGGCTTCAGAATCTATCCTCTTAACCACCAGGATTCACTGCCCACTAGAGAGCCTCATAAATTACACTGCCAGACAGTAAGACCCTAATGCTCCTGACATCTCCATCCCTATAGCCCTGATCTTGATCACTGAATTATCTTTTAACTTATAGAAAGAGAGATATAAGGAGGAGATAAATTACAATTAACTAGGATAACCGTTATTAAAAAAAAACAAACAAACAGGATAAGGCAGAGAATAGCCCTAAAAAAAACCAAGGACAAGTAAAAACCAACCCATAAGTAGGCCTAACAGTAAAAAACAAACAAACAAAAAATCCAGCTCTCACACAGGGCATACAATACAAAATGATTAGGAGAATGAGTAAAATAAACATCTCATATTTTTAGGATGCCTGAACCTCAAAGTCTCAGTTCTGCCATAATCTAAGTATCTGGAAATAAGGATGATAGACTACATTAATACTAAGAAAAAAACATTTTGTATTACAGATGTTAAGAATTTGAGTTCACGTCTTATATCCTTTGGGTTAACAGTGTTTTAAGAAATGGTTTTGTGCCTTCATCTTTAAATAAACTTCTAATTATTTAGTTCATCTAGTTAAAGATGCCAATAACCAATGTCTTAAAGTTGTAAGTGTATTTCTCTAAGATGACACTGTTAACAAATATTTTAACCTTCACACAAATATAAAAAAACCTTTAAATACCATGTTGATGGATTGTGTGAACTGCCTCTAACATATTTTTCCAGTAACTCTTGCGTTCCCATGGGTCAATGGATTTTTTCTTTTTAAGCCAACTATTAAGGTCAATATTTCCACACTCCATTACCATGTAGATGTACTGGTCTGTGATTTCACTGCAATTAAACAAATAAAAGCAGCAAAACAATAAATGGCAAGGTTATATTAAAATTTACTAAATATTTACCTGAAGAATGACAAAAGTTTTCTTTTTAAATTTAAAAAGAATTCTTACTAATCATAGAGCCGGATGATCTTATCACTGTGTTGTTGTAGTTTATTCAAATAAGCTATTTCGTTCCGGTAACTATCAAGAGTTTGGTTATCTGCTTCTTCTAAGTTCACATATTTTATAGCATATATCTGTTTCTTTTCATTCAACACCTGAAATACCTATACAGTAGAACAAAGAGAAGTTTAGAATATACTACTTATACACTATTGCAATGATTCTAAATTTATTAGAATTTTAGGTTGGGAGAAAATTCTGAAGGAAATACTGATATGAACAATTAAAAGTTTTTAGGCCTATTTTGTGTTTAGAAGGAAGAAAAGTAATTCTCATTGGAGAGTAACAGTCCGTTTCCAATGACCTATGATGATGGGCATTCAATAATTTAAGGTATAAATCTAAGTTTTTATATCAACATGTAAGAAAAATAATTTAAATTTCATATATAAAACAATCTGTGGGATGCCCTAACCAGGGAAACAGCATAAAGAAAAAGACATTCCAAAATGTTAAAGACAAGCCTGGTCTGTGGTGTGCTCCTTTAATCCCAACTACTCAGAAGGCTGAGGTGGGAGAATCATTGCTTGAGCCCCAGAGTTTGAGTCCAGCCTTGGCAAAATAGTGAGACACTGTCTCAAGGAAAAAGAAAAGTGAAGGATGACTAAAGGTTATGACAGAGTCAATTCAATTCACAGATGTTGTTTTCTCCATTGCGCCTGGATTTAGCAATTTCATTCATGTGATACAGAATATTAAAAAATATATACTAATCATAAGCTATCAGTATATCCAGTTGTGAAAAGCAGATTAGGTCCGATTTTCAAAGTCAAGTTGGCAGGAACAAGATGTTCTTGTATGTTGTCAGGATCTCTGACGTCAAAGTCCAATTGCTCTGACTATAATGAACAGTCAAATTCTAAGTAACATTTTAGGACAGATAACATTTTTAATAATAGAAAACACTGCAAATGTAGCTTTAAGCAAATATGCAACAGGGATGGTGCTTTTAAAACTCAATTCAAATACAAAATGCCAATGTATACAAGAAAAATTATATTCACATATCCCCTTTGACATATGTAAGTAAAAATTCATTTAACCTTGAACATCCAGCAGATACAGGGAAGGAATAAGAAAAGAGCCCAAGTGTTCATGAGGTTGATGTGCTAAAACTGCACTAACAAGGAAAATCTATCAGGCCCCTCAGGTATAGCGTGCTTTTAATTTTTAGGTATAAGACTCTAATGAAGTATTACTGGTTTTAGTTCGACACACAGAAAATTAGAGGGGTATGGGGCATAAGAGGGAGAAGAAAATAACAATAAAACAGATAGGAATTTAAAAATAGCAGCATAAAGCCATTTTGTAAAAGGTAAACAGCCTCATAAACCCATGACCCTGAATCTAATAGCTAAAATCTTATTTGTATGTTCTGGTGGTGTATCTGTACAATGAAATAGCTTTGTATCATAAAAAGATAGAAAGACTAAAATTTAAAGATGAAAGACTAGAGGGAAATACCTGAATTGAAGCTGCAGCTCCAACCTTATCAGCAACCTAACTCTAGGCAAGCCCCTTAACCTCTCAAAAATCAAATGCTGTTAGTAGTACCTACTGCACATGGTTGGAAGGATGACTCAAATGAATGATGTCTGCAGAGTGTTCTGCAGTGTGTCTGAAGCGAAGCAAATGTGAGCTACCATCACTAAAGACATTCAGGACAGAATAAAGTGGACATTTTAAAACATGTTAAAGTTATCAGACATATCAGAAAAAAAGCATACAGGATATTAAAGCTATTTATGTAATAAGATCTTTAAGTGAACAAATAAAAACTTTTAAATTAACTTTTTGCACGAATGAGTTTATTATTGCCCCCACTGTCCCTGTTCTGGCAAAACTCTTGCATCTGGATCAGGTTAGCTTTATTTCAATTTCATAGAGACAGTATCAAGTGATGATTTGTTAGTTTTGTGAGAAGTTACCAGTATCTTGACCATGCTCATTAACCCCATGACTGTTCTAGAGACTCTTAATAGCCTCCTTAAAAATTGCTCACTGCCTAAACTCTGAAACGGGCACAGCACAAATTGCATTAGTTTTATAAAGCATGTTACTATCTTTTTCTCTGGGGCATTTGATTTTTTCAAGTCTATCATAATTAACTTAAATAACAATTAAATTGAATTCAGAAAATATGGGTCAGTCATAGCTTTATCACTTGGTCCTTGACTGAAATAAGCTTACATCTTCATTATACTCCAAGGAAAAAAATGTTCAAAATGCCATTAAGACTACTCTACATTCTCTGAAAACATATCACTAAATAAATACCTCTAGTAAGTGTCAATACTTTGGTACTACTAAAATATAGCCAAATAACAAATAAATAATAAATATTAACCAAGTAATTTCTATGAAAGCAATTAGGTAATTCAAACAGAATGACAAAAGGAAATGTATAATGAAACCAATATTTATTGAAGACTTGATACACATGGTAATGCACATAACCTTATCTTTCATAGTTAGTAAGACAGCCTTATGCAAGTCTAATTACTGTTAGCTAGATTAGGAAAGTACAGTAAAACTTAAAATCAGTCAAACAGTGTTTGTTTAATGTATCATCCTTAACAACTTATAATAGCAAAACTGCTGAAAACTGAGAGTTTATTCATTAACTAATCAATTCAGTCCCTACCTGTTCTAGGTACTGTTCTAGACACTGGGGCTAATATCACTGAGCGAATCAGACAAACATCCCTATCTTCATGGAGCTCACATACATTCAAGTGCAGGGGGACACAAACAGTAAACCAAATAAGTAAATTACAGAACATGTTAGAAGGTAAGATACAGAGAAAAACAAAACAGGAGGGGAATAAAGAACATCAGTGATTGGAAGGTGGGAGTTGCAGTTTTAGAGTGTGGGCAAGGAAGTCCTAACTCAGAAAACACATGGGGATATCTGGAGGAAAATAGGATGTAATGTTAAAATAGACCAGGAGGAGGGCTGGGCACAGTGACGTAATTCCAGCACTTTGGGAGATGAGGTGGGAGAATCACAAGGTCAGGAGTTCATGACCAGCCTGGCCAACATGGTAAAACCCCGTCTCTACAAAAAATTAGCTGGACATACTGGCAGGCGTCTGTAATCCCAGCTACTCAGGAAGCTGAGGCAGGAGAATCGATTGAATCCAGGAGGTGAAGGTTGCAGTGAGCCAAGATTGTGCCACTGCACTCCAGCTGGGGCGGCAGAGTGAGACTCCTTTTCAAAAAAAAAAAAAAAGATCAGGAGGAACTGAAATAAGGTAAACACAGAAAGACAAATACCTCATGTTCTCACTTATATGTGAAATCTAAAACAATTAAACTCATAGAAGCAGAGCTTATACCACCTTTAACAATGGTGGTTACCAAAGGCTGGAGGTTGAGGGAAATGGGAAGATGTTGGTGAAGGGATACAAAGCCTCAAATAGGAGAAACAAGTTTGACTTTTTTTTTTAGATCATTAGCATAGCATGATGAATATGATAATTGGAAATTATACATTTCAATATTGCAAAGAGTCAATTTCTAAGGTTCTCATCACAAAAAATTTGAGGCAACAGATGTTAATTAGCTTAATCATTCCACATTGTATTAAAACATCATAATACCACCTTGTACCCCATAAAAATATACAACTATAATTTGTCAATATAAAATTTAAAAAAAAGTAGACCAGGAGGGCAAAGACTGAGTCAATGAAATCCTTTAGGAGGCTATTAAAATAATTTAGGTGAAAATACAAAAGTTGCCCTGACCAAAGCAGTAACGCTGGAGATGATGAGAAATACATTCTGGAGACACTTTGAAGTAGAACCAACAAGATTTGCTGATTGGCTAGATGTGTGCAAGAGAATGAGAGGCACCAATTTTTTGGTCAATCAGTTGCAAGAATGAAGTTGCCATTTACTGAAATGGGAAAAGCTATAGAGCAAGAGTTGTGTTTGGACATACTGTTTTAAATGCCCAGCAGTCACCAAGAAGAGATGTTAAACAGTCAAGTTGAATATACAACTCTGGAATTCAAAGGCGAGGTATTAGCTGGAAATACAAGTTTGGGAACTGTCAGCATATACATAGTATCTGAAACCACAAGATTGAAAGTGAACAGCAACGGAGTGAGTTTAAGATGAAAAAGGCCGGGTGTGGTGGCTCACACCTGTAATCCCAGCACTTTGTGAGGCTGAAGCGGGTGGATCACAAGGTCAGGAGATGGAGACCATCCTGGCAACATGGTGAAACCCCGTCTCAACTAAAATTACAAAAATTAGCTGGGCATGGTGGCACGTGCTTGTAATCCCAGCTACTTGGGAGGCTAAGGCAGGAGAATTGCTTGAACCAGGGAGCTGGAGGTTGCAGTAAGCTGAGATCGCGTCACTGCATTCCAGCCTGGGCGACACAGTGAGACTCGGTGTCAAAAAAGAAAAGAAAAAGAAAAAGAAAAAGATGAATGAGGACTAAGCCCTGGAGCACTGCTTCACTGAGATCAGAAACATGAGGAAGATAGTAGGCATAGCCAGTTTGAGAAGGAAAAAAACCACGAACGAAGTGGGGAAAAAAAACTTAAATGAGAAAAAACAATCAGCTGTCCCAAATGCTACATATTCCAAAATCTAAGCAAAGAATTAGATTTGGCAAAAACGTGGGGGTCATTAGTGGTCTTGATTACAGTTATTCTGGTGAGTGATGAAGGCAAAAATCTAACAGAAGTAGATTTAATTGAATGACAAAGATGGTAAGTTTAGGTATGCCTAAGATGCCCTCTATCCAGAGATGTAGAAACGATATAAATTTAGAACTCAGGTAAATTTAGAAAATAATCTAATTTCAGAAACTCATTTGTTACTGAATTCTGTTTCTGAAATGAAAAGCTCAAAACAAAACAAATCCATTAGTGAAAATCCTTGCTGAATGAGTCTAAACATACTACAACACATTCTGACTCAGAAATTTCTGGTTCTTTTGTGGTAATACATAGTGGTCATTTGCTACCCCATGTCAATATTTTTATTATTAAAGAAGAAATATGGAAGCATAGGACATTAAAAGGAAAGGCAGGAGACTGGGAATAAGAGATCTAAAGAGGGTATGTCACATGTGAGGGAGGGTGTGGGAAGAGAAGGGGAGGTGTTAAGATGGCTTTTTGGCTGAAGGGCAACATGGCCCCTAAAAGTTAAGGAAAAGCTGCCCTCACAGGTAAAGACCAAAAAAACCCAGAAAGTTTAAAATATTTCTATTTATTTTGTAAATATTTAAGACACTTACCTTACTTGAACCTCCACGTCCTATCTGCTTTAATATGGAATAAATTTTTCCTTTAACTGAAATGCATTCATTTGTTGAAGAGGATGCTAAAACCTAAATAAGTAAAATGTATAAATAAAAGTTCAAAGAATATGCCTAAGAAACTAGCTTACATTTGGTACAGTCAACTGCTTCCCATTTTGAAATTATCTTAAATCTTAAGTAGAAATGTTACAATATTTTTAAAAGGACTTGCTCTATATACTTTAACCAAAGAGAAAAACCTTAAAAAATAATATAGACAAACTTCCAAGGTCTCCCCCTTTAACTGGTTTTGACTTAAAAAGATAATTCTTAAGGAGAAAAAAACACTTAGTATGCAATCTGCAAACTTACAAACTTTAAAAAATATATATATAATAAAAAATTAATTTTTCATTTTTACTTTCTATCTTTTCCCCTATACCTCTTTACTTTCATATGTGCATATACACACACATAATTATATCTATATATTTATTTCTGAGACAGGGTCTCACTCTGTCTCCCAGACTGATATGCAGTGGCGTGATCTCACCTCACCACTACCTCTGCCTCCCAGGCTCAAGCAATTCTCCTGTCTCAGCTTCCCAAGTAGGTGCGATTACGGGCGTACCACTACTGTCAGCTGTATCTGTATTCTTCTTTCTCATTTAGTGTTATATTATAAAAGAAGCAATGTGCTAAAGGTATTAAGAGCTCCAGGGTCAATCAAACAAATGAACATTTCAGTGATGTCCTTGATATGGTTTGGATTTGTACCTCCACTCAAATTTCATGTGGAATTGTAATTCCCAATGCTGGAGGTGGGACCTGGTGAGAGGTGACTGAATCATGGGGGTCGATCTCCCCCTCAGTGCTTCTCTGAGAGTTCTCAAGAGATTTGGTGGTTTAAAAGTATGTGGAACCTCCCCCCACTCTCTTGCTTCCTCCTGCTCCATCCATATGAAGTGCCTAGCTCCCCTTCACCTTCTGCCATGATTGAAAGTTTCCTGAGGCCTCCCCAGAAGCCAAGCAGATTGCCAGCATCATGCCTCCAGGACAGCCTGAGGAACCATTATCCAGTTCAACCTCTTTTCTTTATAAATTACAGTCTCAGGTACTTTTTTTTTATAGCAGTGTGAGAACTGATTAATATAGCCCCCCCACTTTGTGCTGAGTGATGTTCAACAAGTTAATTTTTTAGAACCTCAGCATCTTCCCCAGCAAACTTTTCAGTTGATGTACTGTACAATTTGCTTCATCATCTCTTCCCTTATACTGGAGGATCTCTCTGTGTACCTATAAATGCTTTGAACAGATGGAGTGCTGAGAGGACTTATTCTGAGCTGATAAAGAAGTTGAAACAAAAAGAGCTCCTGATTAGCTGATTAACCAAGTTGAAGCAAGGTCTGAATAAACCTCAATTTAACTAAGGCCTGCTTTGGGTTCCAAATGGTAGAATCTCATGTAATCTTCTATTTAAATAAAAAGATAAATATTCTAATTTTCTCACCTCTAGGACTAAGATACACTGTTGAGTCAATATATATTTATTTCCTGTAAGAAAGTATTGGGCTTCTAAATGTGTATGTATTGTAATTTCATCAAGGTTCCCCCCCTTCCTTTTGTGCCTCCTCTCTCTCATCTTCATTTCATATTTCAAACTGTGAATGTTTCTGAGGGAAGAAAGCAGTTCAATGTCCTTTTCCCATGGCTGCTGACAGTTTAGAATAAAATAATTCTATCTTATTTCTGATTCAACACTAATGTGAGCTCGTTTCCTACACAGGACATCCCACATCCCCCTTAGTTGGCCCTTACAGTGGCTAGAGTTTCCAAAATGCAATTTGGGTCATTTCAGTTCTCTGCTTCAGCCTCTTCCAAAGCTTCCCACCCTCTAGGGTAAAACTTAAGGGTCCAGCAAACCTTGGGCCTCACCCCTTCCCCTTCGTAAGCTGCAGCCACACTGTGGCCTCATTTCAGTTCTCTCCTGACACTGGCCTCTTCTAGAAGGCCCCACCAAGCCCCTCCACTTATTATCTGTGACTTGTCTTCTAGACTGCAAATCAAACAGGGCCTGACACTAGTAACAGCTAAATACATGTGTTTTGAATCAATGCATGAACAAACTTGAGCATTTTTTCTTTGTAATTTATTATATTGTTTCAATCCTCAAAACGCTATCACCCCTTTCCAGTTAATATCTACTGTCAGCTCATTGTTTTGTCCATTATTCTTTCAAATTACGCAAATTATACATAATACAAATTACCACTTTAACCATTTTTAAGTACAATTCAGTGGCATTAAGTACATTCAGTATGTGATGATGAAAAAGTTCTGGAGACGGATGGTGGCACAAATATCACCACTGAAACTCTATATCCATTAAACAGCAACTCACCATTTCTCCCTCTCTCTTTCCTGGTAACTACTGTTCTTATTCTGTCAACCAATTTTATCAGTTGATTTTTATAGTTAATTACTCATGGGTTTTTTGTTTTATTTAAATAACAATACCTGCTAACATTTCTGATTTACTAAGTGTCATATTCTGTATTAAGAGTTACATATATATTAACTAATTTAATCTTTACAACCATCCTTGAGGTAATTAGCTTTATTAATTTTATAGAGGATGAAATAGGCACAGAAAGTTTAGGTAATTTTCAAAAGATCACACAGACCGTAAGCAGTGAGGCCAAAATTCAAGCCCAGTGTCTTAAAGGTCCATGTTTTCTACCAGTATTAAGCTGCCTCTAGGACAGTTATTAGAAACTAACTTTCGCCTCATCAGCAAAAAATCTTTCTTCTTATAGTTATTACTATAACACATTCTAGCAGTACCTCATATTGCTATTCTGATATTTTGAAAATGTACATTTCCAAATGAATTGTATACTAACAAATAAAATGAAGCTGCTCACTACCAGCTGATACAAACACAACAAAAAGTAACCCTGGCTGGGCAGGGTGGCTCATGCCTGCAATCCAGAACTTTGGGAGTCCGAGGTCAATGGATGGCTTGAGGCCAGGAGTTTGAGACCAGCCTGGGCAATATGATGAAACCCTGTCTCTACTAAAAATACAAAAATTAGCCAGGTGTAGTGGTACGTGTCTGTAATCCTAGCTACTCAGGAGGCTAAGGAACAAGAATCGCTTGAACCTGGGAGGTAAAAGTTGTAGTGAGCTGAGATCGCAACATTGCACTCCAGTCTGGTCAACAGAGCAAGACTCCGTCTCAAAAAAAATAAAAATAAAAACTAACCTTTATTATAAAGAAATTTTAACCAGCTCTTCAACTGTATTCTTTGGCCTAGTTAAGGAGTAGCTTCATTAGCTTCCTCAGTAGCAAACCTCTCAAAGCCACAAGGCACACTCTTAATAGGATATCAGAAAAGTTTTGCCTAGTGGATTTAAGAATGGCCAAGTTCTTAAGACCTTTCCTGACAACTAGATGCTATAAAAATAAAATCTGTAAAACTGATTCGAACCTGTAAAGTTTGAAGTGGAGTAGCAGGTATTTGCTGCTGTTGCTGCTGGAAACAGACAGGTTGGCCATAAGGTGTTGACAACTGACAAGCAGGTGGAAAGTTGTCTGTTACAACTGGAGTTCTAAAACTGGGAAAGATTTTTTTTAATTTAAAACATTACAATTTAACAAGTAAGATTCTCATTCAGTTTTCATTTATTTTAAAAGGCTAAAATAAACTTAAAAGTGTTACATCAAACAGAACCCAACTTACTTTTCATAATATAGCTGATGTTTATTTCAGATATGCCACTACCAGATATTTAATTTTGGGGAATTCTTTCTGAAAGTAAATATTTGTATGCAGACAAGAAATCCTTGTTTGTAAGAAAAAGAAGATGGCATTTAAAATACAAAGTAGTTGGGGTTATTTTATATGAATTTAGCAAATGTCAGCTTATGGCCAATCATAGATTTTATTCGGTTTTTTTTTAAACAATAATGTTCTATATGGCCTACTAGAAATAACAGAAAGCCAATTACATCAGAGGATTTTGGCCTTTGAGCTTAAATCTGTTCAGTATACATTTGTGCTTTGCCTTGTTTGCTGTTAATATATCCTCAACATCTAGAACACTGCTTGGCACGAAAGAGCTCCAAAAATATTTAACAATAACGAACCTAGTATCACAAATCTATTATCACTATTTTAGTTAACAATAATTCTTTAAAATATTCTACATATAATAAAATGAGGTAACATATAGTAAAACTACATTAAGTAGGTAAGAGGCTAGGTTATAAAATATTTAAGGCCAGTTCTAATTAAGATCAAGGATTACATTATGAAAATGAAACGCAAAAGACGACATGGACTTAAGCTATCCCCTAAGTCATTAAAGATATAGCCACTAGTTGATGGTTATAATGTATCCAATCCCTTTATTTCCTTTCTCTGAAATGGCATTCATTTTCTTTTGTAGTATCCCTTGTGTTCCCTGTCAATCAGCACACTGATTGTCCAATTTCTTCACTCATCCATCATTCCTATACTCAAGTACTACACCTTTGAATACCCCCAGAACTAGATGAACTGTAACAACCAACCTCTTCCAGAAGCTATCACTTTCCAATTAACATCACTTTTGTTAAAAAAAAAATTCATCTACCCTTTATCCACTCTAAGAATGCTCATCTTTAAAATCTCTCTCTCAGTAGAGATATATGTACGGCAATACAAGATTATCAAGAAGTTTTGCATCCTCAGAGTATTTATAGGTTGTAGGTAAAGATTTCAACATGACAGAGACTACATTCACAACAATACTTAAAAATATGCATTATTACACCACTTTTCCCTTCCTATTTTATAGATGAAAACACTGATACTGAGAAAATAATATGAAGTTGGAAAATCTTTAAAGTAAAAGAGCAGGATTTAATCCCAGATTTATTTGACCCAGAAGCCCATCTTAATTCTATCATACCACCCTGCCAATCAAGCAAGGGGCCAAAAGTAATTACCAGCTCATGTAATCATCCAAGGCATTGCTGCTTGGTGTCTTACAAATAGATTTTGGATCAAACCATTTATAAGCTGACATTGGCGGTGACTGTTTTGAAACTGAAAAGACAGGTTGCTCAAAAGTGGTATGTTTCTGTTAAAACAAAATAAAAGAACACTATGGTTTAGAGTTTTTAAATTGTTGCCTGTTCAACAGTTTTTACGAATATTATAACTTTTAAAATAATAATATATAATATACAAAAGCACATTAAAACAGGTAGGCGCATATATATATATATATGTATATTTCAGACTTTCAGTAATTTTTTAGTATAGTTATTTATTTATTAAATTCTTAAGCCTAGTGAATTCTGCTCCAACTGATGACAAGTACAGGGAAGGCACGTAAATTGTTTAAAACACAATTTAACATTCTCCACAATCAGAGCTATTTTAACAGGTAGTAAATTCTTATAATCTAAAGTAGTAGCCTATGCTTCTGAAAATTAGCCTTCTTTAATCAATAAAACTATATTCCCTTTTCCTCAAATGTAGCCAAATACTACTTACTTAGCAAAATGTGGAATGACAAATGCCTATCTTGTGTCCTCCTTAAGAAGAGACAGAACCTGTAGAAATTCTTTCTCCAAAAGCATTGTTGAAAAAAAAAAAAAAAGAACCTATAGAATTCATCCTGTACAAACCCCCAAACAATGATGAAGGAACATCTGCTGTGGCAGAGATCAGCAAATTATAAGCTCAGGCTCAATCTGGCCTGCTGCCTGCCTATTTTTGTAAACAAAGTTTTATTAGAACATGGCTATGCCAATCTGTTTACATATTGTTTATGGCTTTTATTTTCATGCTCTAATGGCAGAAGTGAAAAGCTACATACAACAGAGCCCATGGCCTGCAAAGCCTAATAACCCTTTATAGAAGTTTGCTAGTCCCTGCTGTACCACATCTCAATCAAAGAGAGAACCACATTTTGCTTGAATACTTTTAGTAATTAAGCACTCACTAGTCTACAGAGGATCACTTCAATTATGGGACAGCTTTAGTTATCAGAAAATATTTGCAGATAATTTGGATTAAATTGGTTTCACTATTATAATTTCAACACACTGGTCCTCATTATGGTCTTGAGAATTACAATGGCTAAATCTATCCTACTTTCTACATTTCATTCTTGGCAAAGAAATTTTTATTCCAGGATAAATTCTCCCTCTCATTTAAGACTTTCGTGTGTCTGTGCTCCCGTGCAGGCATGCACACATTTTGGGATTACTGGTAAAGATGTTACTGAGGACTGCTATAGTAAGATTAATGAGCAAGGAAAATGAAAAAGAGCATGATCATAGAGTGGAATGTTTGCATTTGCGATTTAGGAGGTCAGAATTGAGGATATAAGGAGTGAGTGGCTAAAGCAAAATTAAGGAAACGGTCTTGAGACAGGAAGAAGTTAGAAACATGAAGGCCGGCTGTAGGACTGGTAATACACAGGGGTATAGAAGCCAACAAAAACAAAGACAGTTGTTGGGATCTGGTTGATCCAAACCCTAATAGCTTCAAGGAATGATGAGGAATCACTAGGGGATTCAGAGATGAGAATAAGCCAGAATCCCCCAAAGAGCAGGCTTTTTGCAAGAAAAGAGACGAAGAAATGGTTTGGACATAGAATGAGGAGCACACAGCCATAAGGTAAGTGAGATGTGAAACAGAACCAATCCTCCCTTGAAGGGGCTGCTGGTCAAGCAATAACCACAAGAAACTGCCTAGATTCTATACTTTTTCTTTCTATGTGTACTATTGAACAGTTCTTAGTATATTCACAGTTGTGCAACCACTACCACTATCCAATTTTAGAATATTTTCATCTCTTAAAAAGAAACCTCGCCGGGCGCAGTGGCTCAAGCCTGTAATCCCAGCACTTTGGGAGGCCGAGGCGGGTGGATCACGAGGTCAAGAGATCGAGACCATCCTGGTCAACATGGTGAAACCCCGTCTCTACTAAAAATACAAAACATTAGCTGGGCATGGTGGCGCGTGCCTGTAATCCCAGCTACTCAGGAGGCTGAGGCAGGAGAATTGCCTGAACCCAGGAGGCGGAGGCTGCGGTGAGCCGAGATCGCGCCATTGCACTCCAGCCTGGGTAACAAGAGTGAAACTCCATCTAAAAAAAAAAAAAAAAAGGAAACCTCATACCCATTAGCAATCACTCTCCACTGCTCCCAGCCCCTGGCAACCACTAATCTACTTTCCACCTCTATGGATTTGCCTATTCTGATCATTTTATCTAAATGAGATCAAACAATATATGGGCTTTTGTGATGAGCTTTTCACTTAGCATGTTGTGAATGTTCATTTATGTTGTAACATGTACTAGTACTTCATTACCATTTATTGTTGATTAACATTTCATTGTATTAATGTACCACATTTTGCTTATCCATTCATTGACTGGATATTTTGTTATTTCCACATTTTGGCAATTATGAAAATGATGCTATGAATATTTATGTACAAATATTTGTGTGGATATACACTTTCAATTCTCTTGACTACAAACCTAGGAGTGGAAATGCTGGGTCATATAACGTGACATTTAACCTTTTGAAGAACTGCCAGATGATTGTACCATTTTACATCCCCACTAGCAGCATATGAAGGTTCTAAAATTCTCCACATCCTCATCAACATTTGTTATTGTCTCTTTAATTGTAGCCATCCTAGTGGGTGTGAAGCAGTATCTAATTATGGTTTTGATTTGTATTTCTTCAATGATCCATATGTTTTTCAGTTCCCTTACAATTCTATTAGTGTACAAGTTTCAAACAGAAAAAAAAGAGGAGATGCTTGTTTAATACAATCTATGACTCAACCTGTCAGGATCCTTATCATCTGGCATTTGTTACCTGTATCTACAATTTAGTGATCTTACTATAATATTTACCTTTCTCACTTTTATTTTCTCATGAGTATATACTGGAGTTTTCCAGAGAGTGTATGACATGTAATAATGAAATAGATTGAATGCAAAAGCAGACATAAGAATCCAGTCTTCTGTTAAGTCAACCGTTAAGATTTGCAAAAACTGTAAATCAATGCTACTCTTCTCACTGTAGTTATTTTGTTTCAAAAAATACTTATTTTCATAATAGTGTACTTATATTCATATGAGTTTATCATAGTTATTTTTAATAAACTAATAAATATTTTTTAGATTTCTTGGCTTTATTTCCTAATACAGCAAATAGAAACAAATAAAATCAACATAAACAAAAGCTCTTTATGGGCATTGATAATTAAGAATATAAAAGAACAAAATATTTGAGAACCAGTGAATTAGAAAATAAGGCCTTTACTGTCTTTACTGCAAGTCACTGAAAAGAAATGGTAAGGAAACTATGGCCATGAACTGTAGCTATGGCTCTTTAGGTATCCTACCTGATCATTCCTTCTGGAAAGGCCACCAGGAATGAGCATTCAATATGTTACAAATTCATGTATATTGTGTAGAATATATTTTTCTATTTTTATCAGTGAGTATGACCATAAGAAACTGTTAAGTGCTTGGGACAGCACTGTACTAGTTCAGAGATTGGTATACACTTTTGTGCAAAGGACCAGATAGTAAATGTTTTAAACTTTGCAGGCCAGATGGTTTCTAATGTAGCTACTCAATTCTGCTCTTATAATGCAAAAGCAGCCATAGACATTAAATGAATGAGTGTGTCAGTGTTCCAATAAATCTTTATTTATACAAGCAGGCTAAGAACTATACTTGGTCCATAGCCTGTAGTCTGCCAACCCCTGCACCAGTCTACCGGCAACCTAGAAACACTACTGAACATAGAAAGGAATTCAGACTGACTCTTACTGAACGTATGACTGTTCCTGATCACTATTTTATAAATGATTAAAAAATCCTTTAAATAAACTATTCTACTAAATAAGGTCCACACACATTTAATAAACGAAAACATTTAATATGACCATCAAACTTCAAAAATGCATTATGAACAAAAAAGCAATGTTGTACTTTAGCAGAAAAGTTACCTCTGTATTAATCTTTCGGGCTAACTCCGGAATCTGCCGCTGATTTGAAGATGCAGCAGGATTCTGGTTAATACACTCTGACTTTCTCTTAGATTCCCACTGTTTCTGGTTACTCTCTGGAACCTCTGGTTCTTGGTACTCTTTAGTTTCTGAAATTGTATTTGTTGTCATTAAAAAGCAAGAATATTTGATCATAACAAACTAAGCCTAAACAACAGAACATGTTACAAACTATATTAGTATTCAGTTCTTAAAAACAAACAAGGAGTGAAACAAAAAGCTTTAAGCCAGCTACTTAACAATTTGTTTTTAGCAAGTCAATTTCACAAAGTTGCACTATAGTCACCTCCCTAAATTGTTACTAAGAACTTTGTTTAGAGACCCTGGCAGATTTAAATGCTTCTTTACCAATAAACAAATAACTAAAAAATTTTAAAACGTATAGGTGGTATAAAGTCTTACTAATAGAGAAGTTAATTTACCACTCTTCACAGACCGATATCCAAGTCTCAAAATGCATTTTAAAACTTTTTTTTTTCCCTTTTTGCTTTCAGCCTCGAAGCACACTTTGGAAACTCTTAGTTTCTCTTTCCCACCAGGCACTTCCACGAACACTGTTCACGTATCTAATTATGTACTTGCTTAGAAATTTCAGGGGCCAATTTTGAAACAAACCAAGCAGAAACTGAGCTTCCGACTTCCTCACTTAGGGGGAGTTTCGAACAATTAACCTGCCACTACCCAGCTGAAGTCAGGAAGACACAAACCATACCTCCAGATGGGTGATTAGGCAATATAACCATCAGAACAAGACATTCAGATGTGCACCACTCCCATATATTTCCCATACCTTTTCCTTCTTAAACTCATTCACTCAGCCCAAAAAGTTGAAATGGTCTTTTGAGGGCATGAGCCTGGCCAGTCCCCAATTGTTAGCATATAATAAAACTGCTTTCCTTTTACCATACTTCACTTCTTGTGCTTTTGGCTTCTGTGTGGTGAACAGCCAGACTTGAGTCAGTTACAAATGTGCTGTCCCATGTGAGGAACTGCTTGTTTTGAGGGGGCTTAGCTTGTACGCCTGGTTTCCAACTAGTGGAGCAACTGGCTGTGGGAGGGGGCCACGGCTCACCCACTCAGGTTACCAGGCCAAAGTAGGGACCACTTGCAAATGCCAGCTGCTCATGGATAGCTGACCCTGCAGCTAGGACCTTAAGGAATTCCCAGCAGCTAAGGAGACCAAATCTTGTCTCAAGGATTTTTTCTTCCCTCCTCTTCGTGGCATCAGCTGCTGTAACGTTCAGCTGGTATATGGAAAGTAGCATCTGGGAAGTCAACGGAATTCAAGGGTTGGATAAATCAACCAGAGTGTACTGGGAAATTCTCCATCTTTGTTAACTGTGCTTTCTAATTGTCTGGACCTAGTATAGGTCATTTTGTGGTGCCATTTGGACCTCTTTGCTATCTGGACCCAGTGCAGGTCACTCTGTGGTGCTGTCTAGGTTTGAGACAAGATCTCAGGACTCTCTCCTTCTTGGGAATGGGTTTGGAGTGTTCCATCTGCATTGGATCTGTCTGTGTTTATGTCTCTGTTTAGCGTTACCCCTCTGTTCAAGAGTGCTTTGAAACCATCTCCATCCCACTCATCAAAACTAGAAAGCAGCAAGATAGGCTGCTCCTCTCCTCGCTAGGGGAGAAATGGTTTCCAACAACCTGGCCTCTGATTTTGTCATCCTCTTTTGGACTTCAGAGTATTTCTTGTATCTGTATCGAGCTTTGTTAGGGAAGAAAGCATGTGAGCTCTTTCCTAGACTTCTGAGACTCCAGTTGGTTAAATATTATGGCCTGTTTTTGTGTACATTTTAAAATTAATGGGCAAATTACAAATAAGAAAAATTCAGAGCTCAAATGGTTAACCTGCAACTTTAAAATTAAACAGTTCTCTAAAGCTAGCTATTTTCGCTTTTCTTTTCTGCCTGCTTTGAACATGCTGTTATTAAGCTACTTGAATTGAGATAAAACTCAATGTTTAAATATCACTTGGAAGGTTGCCTTTTTTTTTTCTTATACAGTTTTCAGCCAGTTATGGCTATAATACAATCATTAGGAACTCATTTGAAACTGAAGAAAAAAGAGAAAAAAAGGATAAAAGAGTTTTTTTGTTTGTTTGTTTTTTTGTTTTTAAAGATGAGGTTTCACCATGATGGCCAGGCTGGTCTTGAACTCCTGACCTCAGGTGATCCACCCACCTCGGCCTCCCAAACTACTAGGATTACAGGCGTGAGCCACCGTGTCTGGCCTAAAAGACGTTTTTTAAGGCCAAACTGCCAGAGATTGCTTTACCCAAATTTTGGTTCACAGCTTTCCTCAGATTATCTATAAGGGCAAACAAGGTTTAGCCACGTGAACGGGTTCCAATTTTATCAGAAAAATAATTTGGATCAGCTCTTTTGTACAGTGGTGAGTTTGTACTGCTATCTTATGTTTAGATTCTGAGGTAAAAGATATTGGATCTTTGTGCCTGTGTCTATACATGTTTAGAAATACATGTATTATATGTGGTATCTAGCATGCTACCAAATTGGCTTATAAGTAAATGAGTACTCATAAATTTAAAAAGTCCTAATGCTTTTCAAGTTGACAGGAATCTTGGTAAATAAAAATGATTTTAGAATTATTAATAAAAATAAACGTTTTCAGAGTTATCAGCATACATTTTTGTCTGAGTTTATTGACCAAATGGTTTTATATCTGTCTCTGTCTATATATTAAGATGTCAGGTTTGACATAAAAGTTATAAGACTATAAACCCTCAAAAACAGACTAATATTTGTGTGACTTTTTTTGTTTTATTTTTACAAATAAGACTAATTTAATTTAGATTATTGGTTCGATGAAAACCGCTCAATCTTCTGAGTTATCGGCAAAATATATTTAACTCTAAGGTTCTTACTTAGCTGTTCACCTGTTATTCAGACTTTAAAAATGGTTAACAGGGAAACAACTTTAAATAATGACTAGCTTTGTACAACAGCTCACTTTTCAGAAGTAACCTAGGTAAACTGTTAAAAATGAAAAAAGCTCAGGACATATAAATGAGATAAATGCTTATAAGTGGACTTTCTGTGTAATTTAAAATCGTAAAATTATTTTGAATGAAGTAATTGATCCTCATTAGATGTCTAGGTCATTTCCAATTAAGAAAAAATTATAATATGGGAAAGCATGTTTCAGAAATTACAGAATAGTCTTTTGAAGGTAACAGCCTGGCCATTCTAAAACTGCCTTCCTTTCATCACACCTCATTTCTGGTCTTTTTCGCCTCTGAGTAGCAAGCAGCTGGACTTAAGCCAGTTACAAGACCTCTAGTTTACCACAAAAATTTCACCTTATGCTAGTTTGTAATTTATTCTCTCAAAGATCTACAAACAAAAACACCTGAACAATATATTTAACATTCTATAAATATACAATTCCATTCCTTTCACAATAATGGATGAAAAAGTCCTAAACAAAATATTAGCAATTGATATACAAAAGGGATAACAAATTATATACAAATTGGACTTATTCCTAAATGCAGTTTGCTTAACATTTGAAAGTCAATGTAGGCCAGGCATGGTGGCTCACACCTGTAATCCCAGCACTTTGGGAGGCCGAGGTAGGCGGATCACCTGAGGTCAGGAGTTTGAGAACAGGCTGACCAACATGGAGAAACCTGATCTCTATTAAAAATACAAAAAATTAGCCAGGCATGATGACGCATGCCTGTAATCCCAGCTACTCGGGAGGCTGAGGCAGGAGAATCGCTTGAACCCAGGAGGCAGAGGTTGTGGTGAGTTGAGATTGTGCCATTGCACTCCAGCCTGGGTAACAAGAGCGAAAGTCTGTCTCAAAAAAAGAAAGAAAGCCAATGTAATTTGCCATAGTAACAGACTAAAGAAGGAAAATATATAATTAAATAGACGCAGAAAAATAATTTGATAAAATTCAACACCCAGTCACAAAAAAAAACTATTATTAATAACCTATGTATAAAATGGAACTCACTCAATCTGACAAAAAGCAGGGACAAAACTCTACAGCAATTATCGTACTAAAAGTAAAATACTGACAGCTTTCTCTTAAAATAAGAAATGAGACAAGAACAGCACCTATCACCCCTTTCTAATCACCGTTATACTGGAGGTCACAGCAATTATAACAAGGCACAGAAAAGAAAGTTAAAAGGATTCAAAATGAAAAAAGCTATACTATTTTCAAACATAACTGTGTACCTGTAAAAATCCAAAAAATGCACAGAAAACTATTAGAATTACTCAGTGAATTTAGCAGTGCCACGGTATCTAAAAAACAGTATGTAAAAATCAATTGTATTCGTTATAAACTAACAACAAAGATTTTTTTTCTTTAGACAAGGTCTTCTTCTATCACCCAGGCTGGAATGCAGTGGAATAATCAGGTGATCATAGCTCAGTGCAGTCTCAACCTCCTGGGCTCAAGTGATCCTCCCACCTCAGCCTCCTCCGCAGCTGGGACCACAGGCACATCCCACCACACCGAGCTAACTTTTCTGTTGAGATGAGATTTCCTTATGTTGCCCAGGCTAGAAAAAGGTTTTTAAAAAGATACCATTCATTATCACAGCATCAAAAAATATCAAGAATATGTGATCGGTATCAAAAAATATTCAAGAATAGATTGCTGGCAAGACCGAATAGGAACAGCTCTGGTGTGCAGCTCTCAGTGAGATCAACACAGAAGGTGGGTGATTTCAGCATTTCCAACTGAGGTACCTGGTTCATCTCATTGAGACTGGTTGGACAGTGGGTGCAGCCCAAGGAGAGCGAGCCAAAGCAAGGTGGGGCATCGCCTCACCCGGGAAGCGCAAGGGGTCGGGGAACTCCCTCTCCTTGCCAAGGGAAGCCATTAGGGTCTGTACCCTGCACTCTGGCCCAGATACTGCGCTCTTCCCATGGTGTTCACAACCAACAGACTAGGAGATTCCCTCTGGTACCTATACAACCATCAGGGCCCTGGGCTTCCAGCACAAAACTGGGAAGCCATTTGGGCAGACACTAAGCTAGCTACAGTGGTATTTTTTTTCATGCCTCAGTGGTGCCTGGAACACCAGCGAGACAAAAACGTT